AGCAAAGGAAATAGTAAGTTAGTTTTTACAAATGAAATAAGTGCACAAAGATAATGACAATAACTCTATCCTAAATGACTTGTACATTTATTTTTCTTCCATAGCAGAAACAGACTCAGGTATGTGGGTTATTACAGAATTAACAATAGCAGAAATATAATGTGAGCATGAATTAAAAGTGGACTTTACATTTTTTCCAAGATGCAGACTCAGCAGATTTAGGTAGGTTACAAATGAAATAAATTCACAAACATGTTGAAATGATGCAGTTTAAATTCGACTATCTTTTTCCCAGAAGAAACTCATGAAGTGAAATCTGAGAGGGGGGTGGTGGGGGAATCCCTAATATCAAAGGGCGGGGGTCCTCGGCGGAAATTATGAAAATGACCCCTAAGAGGGACCTGTATTTGGAGATGATGGGCGTGGCAGTGCTGAAATTTCACCCCTAAAAGGGACCAATAATTTCGTCTATTAAGGAGTGTTCAGTGACAAGACGTAACATTGATTAAAATAAAATCAATCATCGATTATTAGCAGCTGTTTTTGATCTCATAATGATGGCTTAAGGACGTCATATACCCTAAAAGTGAGCACAAAACTCAGTTGGTGGGAATTCTCGTCATTATCACCCTAAGCGAGACCAAAATACCGATTTCAAACCCTAAAAGGGACGCCGAGGGCCACCGCCCTTTGATATTAGGGAGTCCCCCCCCGGGCATTTTATAAACAAATCATAGCATGTTTTGTAGTGGAATTTTGCGATAAATACCACTCATGATATTTCACAATTGTAACTTTCACAAGCAATCGTATTCTAAAACAGTTTTTTATATTTTTTTCCATTGCAGCCCAATGACCTGGTAAGTACACAATAGTAATAAATGAGAAAATGAATAAATTCACGTAGTCTAAAGTCCACTTTTTTATAGTTTTTTATATTTTTCCCCTTTCAGTTGGAGCTTCAGTCTTTCGTAAGTAGGGGAGAACATGCACCATGCAAGAAACCCTTTCGATCGTCATGAATTAGAATCTGAACTGTCCCATCCCGTCTTGAAATTTATTGTATCTTTTATATATATTTTGAATCTCATAATTTATTTTTCAATTCTATAAATGACCATGCAATTCACGTATTCTAAATTCCATTTTTAAATGTTTTTCATTGCAGACGGAAGCTACGGTTAGTATGATATTACCATTTTAATAAATGCGCAAAAGAATGAACTCACGTATTCTAAATTCAATTTAATTTTTTTTGTTTTCATTGCAGCTCCAGTTTTTGGTACGTATACGATATTACAAATCAATACTTTTTGCGCAAATGAATTAATTCACGTTTTCTAAAATCCACTTAATTCATATAATCATTGTATTTTTTTTGTTTTCTTTGCAGATCCTCGTTTTTGTAAGTATACGATATTACAACTTTATGCATGCGAAAATGAATGAATTCACGTATTCTAAATCATTTTTGTATATATTTTTCCCGTTTTAGGTCAAGGACCTGGTGAGTGCACGATATTACAAATGTATTAAATGCGAAAATGAATGAATTCACGTATTCTAAAATCCACTCTTATATTTCTTGTATTTTTTTTTCTTTGTAGGTCCACGTTTTAGTAAGTATACGATATTCCAATTTCAATAAATGCGCAAATGAATGAGTTCACGTATTCTAAAACACTTATGTTTCTTTTTTTTTTTGCAGCTCAAGGACCTGGTACATGTAAGTACACGATATTACAAATGTAATAAATGCGCGA